CTGGGGCGGGCGGGGCAGCCAGTGCGGGGAATGGAAGAGTGGGCAGGGGATGGGCCTGGCTGATTCGGAGATTTGGCTGCATTGCTTTGGGACAGTGATTCAAATCACTGTCCCCCGAATCGCCGAATCCGAAGCAAATACTAGCCGCTTAGCACAGGCCTAGTTTACATTATCCATACTTGATATTTCAGTAACCATTGGACTTCTTGAGTGGGTGGATAGACTTTTTTGTTTTTGTGTGTCAATTTTATTTAACATGGTCCAGGTTTTTCAAAGACTCTCTCTCTCAGGCTTGCACTCGCTTGCTGTCTCTCACGGACACACACATGCATGCAGACATACATGCAAAACACCCATTGAGAGGAGAATTAAAATCACTACTATTTTGTAAATGTGAAAAAATGCACCCAGGGCATGTCTACACGTGCAATTAATGTGGACCAATTTATTCGTGCGCACTACATGGAAGCCGGTTGGAGCAGTCCGGGCTGGCAGGTGGCTTGGGCGTCAGGTTGCCAGCCCAGGGCTGCTGTGACCAGGCTCCATGTGCTGCGGGGGTGGAGCTGGCTGGAGTACAGGGTGCCTCAGCGCAGGGCTAGCCAGCAGGCAGACCCCGCACTGAGGTACTCTGCACATGCACCAGCCAGCTGCAGAGCAGCACATGGAGACGGGAGATCTTCCAGCCCAAGGCTGGTTGCTCCCCCATCTCGAGGCATACTGAACCCCAGGCGGCTGTTTCATGGCTACTTGAGACACAGCATGCCTCAGTACGGGGCTCTGCAGCATGTGGAGGCAGGAGAGCAACCTTGGGCTGGCTGCTCCCCCCATCTCTACTTACCGCTCCATGGCTGGCTGGGGCACAGTGTGCTTCAGTGTCACAGCTGCCTGCCAGCTAGCCCTGCGCTGAAGCACCCTATGCTGCAGCCAGCTGGGGCAGTATTTACTTATGAGCTGCTTCTCCCAAAAAAACTCCACAGTAGGTTAGTACTTGCATTTTACAAGACTATCCTGTTGCAGACTAGATTAGCTTCATGCACCCTACTAGAGGCACACGTGTAGATGCTGAGAGGTTTACTGCACAGTTAATTAATCAACTGTACAGTAAGCATCTTGTGTAGATGCACCCATATTGTACTAAATAGTAGAAACTTTACCTAATTTTTTTTTTAAAACTGATCTAATGTGTCACCTAGCTTTATTCACAGTGCTTCTCTTTACATTGGTTCGTGCAAAAGTCAAACATTTGTGTCTAATATCCATGCTAATTTTATGACCCGTATGATGCATTATTTTTTCTTAATGTATCCAATCTAAGAAATTAACTGAATCCCTTTTACCAGGAAAAGGTACTGAGAGAGATTTTCTAAAGGGTAGCTGTGGGTTCTGTGTCACTCTATCACTACATAGGCCTTTGCTGCTGATACCCAGGAAGTTCTGTACATTTTCTTATCCTTGAATTTAATTCTACGGTGCCAAAGAATTGTGCACCAGTATGAGCTAAATCACAATTGTAGATTAGCTTTTGGGTTCAGCTTTTCCGAATACTTCAAAACTTGTGATATGTCCAGAAAATGGACATTTCCTTTAGAATCTTAACATATCTCTATTATTATATATATGAATTTACAAATGAAAAGTATTCTTAACACTTGCATGGGAATGTTGGATAAATACAAAATAATGTAAGGTGATTACCAGGATTTCTTTCTTCATTTGTTGCTACTAAACTACTATAGGTTATTTATTTTTAGTTAGATATTGGTCAGATAATTCATTTATATGAATGTGATTTTGTTAAACAGTTGATAGTTTTTCCACACTTCTTTGTATTATTCATTTTTAATGCACTGTAAAGCTAGAGAGTATCCAGTCATTCTACACGTCATTCTGAGATGATATGGTATTACAATGATAAATGTTTTGGAATGTGTCTAATGGAAATGCTTCTAAAGTGCTACCTACCTATTTTCTTTCCTGGATAAAAATGGTTGTCTTGCACTGGTCCCTTGGATATCTGCTTTTTCTGTATTTTCATTTTTCTTTGTCTTTTATCAATAATGGGTTCTTTCTTCTGGTGTATAAGGTTGGGCTTTGTCACAATTCTTTTTCCAGTGTGTTGTTTTATAAATGTTGACCTCGAACTTAAAGCAGCAGAATTGAAAACAATACTTGATCTGACCTATCTTCAGCCTCTACTGGACTAATAGTAATTTTTCTTCTACCAACTTAACCCACACCTTATTCCTAAGTAAGCTGTCTTTGCAGGGCAATGTTGCTCCTTTCTTAAAACTTGGAATACCAGGTTCTCCTTTTCACAGAGCTTAGCACTCGCTGATGGCCGCAATATAGCCTCTTCATTTCTAAATGGCTGAGCTTTGTTTGTAGAGCTGAACATATATAATGCCTTTGTGTCTGAAGGATGTAATTGCCTTACATTACAGTAAAGGTTCTGTCATTATCACAGCAGTAGTGAATATATTGAATCATTGACCAGAACTCTTACAAATTAGTTTTCCCAGTCTTGGAAGTCATTGCACCAGTAATGTGTGTACATCTGACGATGTTATCAGTGATTGATGGCTTCATTTTTCATGGTATGGTTTTTTATATCATTGTATTATAATCTAATTGTTCTCCATTAAAGTGTGTAAGAGAGTGGCTGTGATGCCTTGTTCCTGAAGATATGAGAGTAAGCTATGCCCTTCATCACTAAATATACTTATCTGTAACATTAATTATCATTTAACAGCAGAGTGGTCCATCTAGGAGAGCTCGTTCTTCAACTGTCACAGGTGGTGAAGAACCAACGGTAATAATACTCTTTATCAAACACTTTATGTAAATAAATTGTGGGTTGGGTTTAGGATCTTGTAAGGCAATGAACATTTTTTTATACAGCAGCAGTATGCTGGTTACAATAAGTTTTTTCTGAAACAATAGTTGTGTTGATATTGTCTTTTGTGTGCGTTTGAAATACTTTATCCAGCTAGTAAATACTAATAATATCAAAACTGTATTAGATTCTATAAAGGTAAATGATTTTTAGACAGAGCTACCCTCTGAATAAATACCATTGAGTTGCCATAAAATTGAATGATAAGTGCTGTGATGCTCAGCCTTCTGGCTCTGTGTGCTGGATGAGTGGCACAGGGTTGGTGTGCAGTTGTGATCCTGTGCACTGGTCCAGTCCCATTCACTGGAGCCAGCATGTGCCAACCTGGTCCCATGCTTCAGATCTAGCTGACCGCTGGCCCAGTCCCATGCTCCATATCTTAGCTGCACACTGGCCCGGTCCCATGCACCAGATACAGCTGCATTCCCCAAACCTGCTCATTGCATCAAGCCACGACATGACCCCTCACACTGGCTGCACCATAGACTGCTGATGTAGCACAGAGGGCCACATTATCTGGCCTGCAGGGCTTCCTGCAGGTCCAGCAATTTAGGAGCAAGGGTGCCACATTAACGCTCCCCCTGCTCGCTTACTGTCAAACTTCCCAACCCATGAGGAGTCCTTTGTGCTGAATGATACAGCTCCTTGGGCTGGAGATTGAGCACTGCTTATACAGTGCTTAATTTTTTATTGTTAAAATGCCATTTAAAAACCAACAGACACTTTGGAAATATAGTTTTTACCACCTTTGCTAGCTGACCGTGCATCTACCTTCCTAACATGCACAGCGGACTAATTCAGTGTAATTCTTAGGCTTTAATGCAACTGTAAGAACCATGGGACCATACACTTCTCAGTACAGAATCTTGTACTTTATTGCCAACCTTGATTTTTTTCCAGTCCTCACTCACTAGCCTGAGACTGGATGTTTTTACCTTGAACCATTCGAAAATATGCTCTAGTTTGTAACTATTGAACATTTTCTATCACTAAATCATTTCTCATATCTCATTAGACTTTGTCAAAGCATGCCATGTACTTAGTCTGTTCAAATGTAAATATAAAGCAGTGGAGTGTCCTATTCATAACAGTAGCAATAATAATATTGAGATTTTATAAATGTATGTGTATGTCAGTGGAAGCCAGTGTAATTAAGGTTGATTTATTTGTGGTGGTGGTGGCGGTATGTGCTCATTACTGACAAAATGAAGACCCATTATGTTGCACTTCATGTATTTGCTCTTTGTTAAATTTCAAAACCAGTAAAGGATTTCTTGTGCTAAGAGTCAGTGCCTTTCACAAAAAAGTGCTTTTGGCTTCCAGGGCAAAACTGAGGATTGAGAGCCACATAGAACAGGCAAAAATGTGCGGTATTGATCCCCAATGTAGTGCTAGTCTTTGGTTGGCAGATACTTAGAAACACATTGGCTGCTTGCAGATGTTAAAAAAACTGCACTTTACTGGAAGCAGTAGCGCGTTACTTCAACCTGGCTCCATAGCATCTGCATAGATCAGGTGCTTCAGTGGGGCTTTTTGGTGCTTTTATCTGAAGTTGGTTCAATCGGCTATTAGATATGTGCCAAAAAAACTCCGCTAAAGCGCCCGATCTGTACAGACATCAGGAAGGCCAGGTCCAACTAACACGCTGCCTTGCCTGAGTGTGTGCTTGGCCACTGATTTGGGGGTTTGGTTTTTTTTGTGGGAGGAGGTTAACCTCTGCATGCAACCGTTGTTTGCAACCAGAGTTGCAAAAGCTGAATTCAGATTAGAGCTACTTTGTGAATGCCTTATCATGAATTCCAAAATAGGTGTACATTTTGGATATTGTGACTAAGTATATTGCTGCTCAGTAAGGGGAAATTGGTGCTCAATGCTTGTAGTCATATTGATTCTGTGAATACCGTGGAAATTTCGACCCAAATTACAAAAAGAATTTAGGCATCTAAAGTAAGTTAGGCAAAATTTAGGCTTTTTAGTCCAGAACAGTGTTCCTCAAAACACTACCATAACCCCTTGTCACATAGGCATTTAGCATTCTTCTTCGGCACAGGTCCAGAATTGTCTGTATCTTCACAGGGCTGAGGATCTTTGCACTTAACCTCACACTTTAGTTGGAGTGGGATATGCATACTAGATGTTGCTTCACTTAGATCTCCTTGTGGGCCCAACCCAGTTAGGTACATCTATGTCTCAAAAGAAAGGAGTGATCCCTGCTCTGTTTTTGAAAGAAATGACTTGCGTCCCAAAGCCAGGAAAGGGTTCTGGGCTAAAAATCTCAATTTCTTTCTTCCCTGTTCAGTGTTTTGACGCTAAGTGACTCCTTGGTTGCTGTGCTGGCTGTTGGGACTCTCCGGGTGGGATGCTTAAACTAACTCCCTGCCTTGTGCCTTGTTCAGGGTGTACATTTCTCACCAGGAGCCAAGCACCTACCAGTTAAAAGTTATGATGCTCCACGCGTAGACTGCCTCTGTGTAACATTTGGGAGAGCTGCCATGAAGCATGCCCTGCCAGTCCTACTGCACATGCCTCAGCTCCTCAGAGTGAGCGGTCATGAGAGAGTGCTCAAAGCTCCTTTTAGGATCCCCGTCTCAGAGGTGCTCCTGTGCGTGTCCTCAGGGCTGCTCTAAGGTGACTGCCTCGCCATGTCCAGGGAGTATGTGGGCTTCAACAGTGGCACTTGCAAGCACTGTACAGAGACAGTGTAGATATGTCCTTGGTGTGTCTGTAGGTTTAACCTTGAACGCTCATAAGAAATTAATGCACGTGCACAAAGCATTGCTCTACTCAATAACAGTATTCCATCTGCCTGAGATATTGCAGTGGGCCTTATTTTTTCACTTAGGTCAATTACAGAAGATGAGTAAAATGTGATAGTTTATGCAAGACAGGCAAGGTTCTTTGAGTAGATGCGAAATCTTTTATTAGATCTGCTAAGTAGTTGGGGAAAAAGTACTTAGCAAGCTTTCGGGTGCAGTCACCCTTTTTCAGGCATAGGAAGTCTCTGCTTTATGCCTGAAGAAGAGTGACTGTGCCCAAAAGTGTGCTAAGAACTTTTTCTCAACTAGTCAGTTGGTCTAATAAAAGATATCACATCTACGCAAAGAGCCATGCCTGCCTATGTCTTAGACCAACACGGCTACAACCAAAAACCCAGAATAGTTTATACAAGACAGGTGTTTCTCTGCATGTATGTTGATGTACATTATATATAGCATGCCTGTGTGTGTGTGTGTGTGTGTGTGTGTGTGTGTGTGTGTGTGTGTGTGTGTAAAATTTGTACATTTGGTTTTAACAGGTTTACTTTTCAACAGTATTTTTTTCCTGAAAGCATCCAAGGAAGCTAACTTATTTCTTGAGAGATGATCTGTAAAGCTTAGAACTGAGCAAAGCAGTAACAGTGTCAGAGACTGAGCTAAAATACCTGAATATGTTGTTTCCATCTCTGTTTATATAAGAAAACTTTTTTTTAAAAAGTGGCATGCCTCTGAGAATCCCTCCTGGGCTGCTAAACAGAATGCAATGCTGCAGTCCAATTTATTTAAAATGACTTGCTTCTTAATCTCATGTTTTCATTTGGAAAGTTAGTCAATTAATTATGCATCTTTCTTCTATTTGGTACATATGGCCCCCACAATTCTCCCATCTTCAGCAGTCTTGTACAGGAGTTTTTGTTTCTTTCTGCTCTGTTTTTATGATTCTCAGTTTTGCCTTGGTGTATGTCTCCAAGTTGTCTTGAGCCCACTTTGGCCTCTGCTTTGGAGAGCCCAGGCCAATGCCTGGTTTGTTAAACTGCGGGTCATTTTTCTACGAACATCTCAGTCATTTCCATTTTTGTTGCCTTATTTTTAGTCCTGTTTGTTTCCCTTTAATCCTTTGCTGTATTACTTCATTCTGATTTCCAACCCCCATCTCTGCCCAACTCTTGGATGTTAAAGATTGTGTCTATTACTGCTGTTTATGAAGATTTGGAGTTTACAAGCTAGGATCTTATTAAATCTTCTCATGTCAGTGCCATTCATTTCAGTGCCATGCACTAAGGCAACTTCTGTTCTGTTCATGTTAAATACAGAGCTTAGGTTAGAGCACAAGATTTCTGTTTCTCCAGATTGGTTTCAGGTTCATTTGGCTTTAATATCTTTGCCTGGTTCACTTATTGACTTAGAAAATCCAGTTCATAATAAGGTAAAATGCTGCAAATATGTTAAATCAATTTATGAGTTAAGAGATGATCTAAAGAAAGAGAGAAATTAATGCCATTTAAGATGCCATATGTGGCATCTTTACTACATCCCTCTCCTTTGTGACTGTCTCCTCATAACTCTAAGATGATGTCTATGATAGTAAACTGTGCTTTAGTGGCAGTGCTGCAGTACTTTGGGCAAGCTGCCTCCCAGGCTGGAGGCATCTACACAGTGCTGTAAGCAGACTAACTAGCACAGACACATGCTTGTTGGCACCATCTTTCATTGCCACCCAGTAAATTTCTGTGTAGGCCTGGATTAAACCAGGTATTTGCATTGTTCACTAAATACATCCTTTTAATTTTGTATTGAATAGAAATCTAGATATAAAGACTGAGCAGTTCAAAAATTCTCTTGCAGTTCTGAGAGAGCCATATCCTATATTTAATTTCACTTAATTTTATATTGTAAAAAATAACAATAACCTGCTTTCATGTACAGTACATACAGCCCTAAAAAAGCAAGCCATTGGCTGACACTCACACAAGCTACAACGCTTCTAATCAAACAAGCTCGTTAAGCACTGCCATCTTTTTAACTAGCATTCATTTAGCAAGTGAATGAATCAAAGTGTCATGATCTGCCCCAGCAGATACTGTTTAGTTTTCCTTTGATTCCTTTTCCCCTTCTGTGTAGTTGTCTCTGAAAACAAGTTGTCTAGACAGATTGTGGTAT